GAAATGGACCTTCAAATGCTGAGCCGGGGAAAATATCCATTGCGCCATAATAAAGAAATTCGTAACACACACACATATCTTCTTCTTTTGTGTGTGTGTGTGTGAGTGTGAGTGTGTGTGTGTGTGTGTGTGTGTGTGTGTGTGTGTGTGTGTGTGTGTGTGTGTGTGTGTGTGTGTGTGTGTGATCACCTTACAGCACGATAGCTATATAAAATGAAGTGATTCCAAGAACAGAATCTGACAAGATACTGTGTAAGAATAATCCGCTACCACAGAATTCAGAGAAGACGAACTTCTTCAGGAGAGACGCAATGTTGTAAGTATACATGATCACTTAAATGATATGTGTGTAGGTATGTATGTATGCCTAGTTAGGTATGCGTGGATTTACGTGTGTATATTGATACACATCTACACGTACAATACACATGATGTATTAGACGCCGTTGGTCTCAATTCTTTCACCACGGAAAGATCAAGGACACCCGCCCTCGCCTCATCCTACCATGACGTAAGCAAAGGTCTTCCTCATCCTAAGGAGAGCCACAAATACAGGCCGTTTTCAGGGAGGCTTGGCAACTATAGAAAAGGGATGATAATGATAACAGTGATAATAATGACACTACTACTGCTAATAATAAATATAGCAATAATAGTGATTGCGATAATGGTATATGTTATAGAGGCTACTCCTACTATTATTTATTTCGATGATTATAATAATAATAACGATAGGAACAACACGAACACCGAAAACGATGATAATGAAAATAGTGATGATGATAATAGGAGGAAAATTATTGTGATAATAACAATACCAAAAACAAAAATACTTTTATGTTATTATCATATTGACAATAACAATATCATGATAATGAAAATAATCATAATAATTTTAATAACAACGAGGAGCAAATTTGTAGTGATAATAACTATATCAGCAATGATAATGATATCTATTGTGATATTAACTAAAATACCACCAATAATATCAAGTCTGTAATCACATTCCACACACTTTTGATATGAGATGGACTTGCGTGCTTACTGGGGTTCTTGACAAGCGACCAGCGGCATATGACCATGTTTATACAGCCAGCCAAGATCATTAAGCCAATGGATTCTATTTAAGAAGATAGTAGATTTAATACTAAAAATTCTTTATTCTTTGTATATTTTTAGATTTAGATTTAGTCTGTTTTTATTGTATTTTTGGCATATTGTTAGAATGTGAGTTATTGGGAGGTTGCATTGTGTAGGGACTGTGTCTCATCGTAGGGAGTGAGGTAGGTTAAGCTGATGTCCTGAGATGTGCCAACAAGTACCTCCTCCCTTCTAATTTTCCTGTGAGTTTTATCCAGAGGTTTCATTAAAGGGTTATTGTTATTGTTTATTAAGAGGCCGGTCGTCATACTTTTCCTACAACAGATGAAAGTGTATTTTTTTTTTACAAAACGTGATGCATAAAAGTTGTAAAAATAATAATAAATGAATAAAATGGGGAGAAGAAACAGAATATATATATTATGCCTGGAATTATATTAGGTGTGACTGAGGACTTGAAGGTAATTAATTTTGGTGTAAAATGGGATGATTTTAGACATTAAAGAATGACAAAGGAAGGGAGGGGAGAATAATGGGAGAAAAGAAAGAAAGAAATAGGGAAGGAAAAAAAAAAAAGGGAGAGGAAGGAAAGGGGATAAGAGGGGGAAGTGGAGGGTGATGAGAAGATGCAGAAAGAGGGCATAAAGTGGGAAGAGAGGAGTGAAGTTAAGGAAGATTATAGAGCGAGAAGGGGTGTGGAAGGGAAAGGAAAAGGGAGAAGGAGAGGGTAAAGGGAGAGGAGAGGCGATAGGGAGAGTGGGCGAGAGGAGTAATTATGTATTTTCTTTATTTTTCTTTTCTTTTCTTTTCCTTTCTTTTTTTTATTGATACTAAAAATGATGATAATGTAATGTAGTGATAATAATAATATTGATACTGATAACAATAATAATGATTGCAATAATGATAAAGGATAATAATAATATTTTATAATACCGCTAATGGCAATGATCATGATAGTGATTCTGATAATAATAATAATGATGATGATGGTGATAATAATGATGATATTTATGATGAGGATGATGATTAAACTAACACTTAATAACAATACAAGCTAAAAATGAGGCAAAAATAACAAAAAAAAAAGGAAAAAAAAGTCAAAACCACTAGTTCAACCGTTTTGGCGCCATTTTTAAAAAACTTTTTGAGAACTTTCTCGAATATGCAATTGCGAAATACATCCACTGAGATTCAAGGTAAGTTGCATAAAATCAGTGACTCAGCGGATTGATTGCATGTAGTTTTGGCAAGAGGAAATGATCAGCAAATTTCGAAAAAAAATTAAGAAAATTGTGAGAACTAGTCAGTCATGGCGTCCATATTACTACCATTATGATTATCACTGTCAAACTGCATCATCACCAGCATCATTATTAAATACCATTGCTATTGCTTTTGTTATTATTATCATTATTAATAACATTATTGTTATTATGATTAATATTGTTATTATTATTGTAATAGCGTTAATATTATTGTTATTATAATTACCATTGATATGATAATAATAATGATTATGACAATAGAAATATCAATTATCATTATTATTACTTTTACTATTATTATCATTATTATTAATATTGTTATTCTTATTCTTCTTGTTATTATAACTGTTATCATTATCTTCATCATGATCCTTTTCATTATGATTATTGTATTCTTATTGTAATTATTATCATTATTTTGATATTATAATTATCATTATTTTGTTGTTATTATTACTGTCATCGTCATCATCATTTTTATTATATTATGACGATTCTTAATATTATCATTATCAATATTAACAATATTATTAGTAGTATCATTATTATCACTGTCTTTATTATAATTTACATAGTTTATTGTTCATTACTATCAGCAGTATTATCATAAACATTATTATTGTCGTTATTGATATTGACATTATTATCATTATAATCTTCATCATCATTATTTTTGTTTTCTTATCATTATTATTAGAAAGATTCTCATTACCATTGCAAAATTAATAATTTGCAACTTGCACCACAAAAACAACACAGTAATGTACTGGGCCCTTGTAAAATGTTGCTTGTACTGTTCCTTCAAAGTGCAGTTGGTGATATTTTCAGTTATTTAATTACTAATTAATTTATTTATCTATCTTTTTAGGTGAGGGGGAGATAATAATAATAATAATGATAATAATAATAATAATAATAATAATAATAATGATAATAATAATGATAAAAAAATAATAATAATAAAGATGATAATAATAATAATAACAATAATAATAATGAGTACATAAGTATTTTTCATTTGTCCTTCTACTTTATTTTCTCTTTTTAACTTCCTTCTTCTCCCAATCGCTCTCCCTTTCTCACTTTTTTTTCTGTTTTACTGTTTCTCTCTCTCTCTCTCTTTCACTCTCTCGCTTTCCGTGGCAAGTTATTTTGTAACCCATTTATTTTCATTTTATTTCGTCTCTCACTAAGTCTATATCCTCTCTCCCAAAGTAAATCGATTTACCTATATGTGTATGTACGTTGGTCTGTGTGTATGTCTGTGTTCGTGTACGTATAGTTTCCCGTGAATTTCCCTAGCTTAAATAGGAAAATAAGTATCGTTTATTTTTTATACATTTATTGGAGAAAAAATTGCCCTTACAGTGACACATAAGTATTTGAATGAATTTTCAAAATAAGTAAGTAAAGGAAATTTATTATGTTAATATTCAAATCACTTATTACGATATATTTTTCAAGCTCACATGCCTGACCTGTACCTTATATTTATATCATAATACATTCCCAACTTATAAAAAGATTATGTATAAGTACATACATTTCAACATAAACACAAACACAAAATTACAAATTTATCTCTGTGCCTGATTAAATTATATATATGCATTCATAGATATACATATATGTGCATGTGCATGCACTTGCGTGCATGTGTGTGTGTGTGTCCGTGTGTGTGTGTGTGTGTGTGTGTGTGTGTGTGTGTGTGTGTGTGTGTGTGTGTGTGTGTGTGTGTGTGTGTGTGTGTGTGTGTGTGTGTCTGTGTGTGTATGCATATATGTGTATATATATGCATATCTATAATTTCTGAAGGCAAAGTATACACTTACGCGAAACTGAAAACATTCACACCTTTTTATCACTATGTCCTTGAAAAACAGAAGCACTGAGGAGACGTCAGGAACCAATCCCTTCGTCAGGAGGATCTCCGAAGACTTCGCAATACCTAGGCGGCGGAGGCTCGTTGGCGACGTCCTCGTAGTCGGGAGGAGGATCGTGAAACCTCCGGATCACGAGGTCCCCGACCGCGGCTTCAGGATCCACGACCGCGGTCTTCCTCTCGCACCGACGCCGCATGTAGCATCGGAGACAGACGCTGACGAGGAGGAGACCGAGGCCAAGCGGTAGGAAGACGACGTAGCTCTGGTCATGCGAGTCTTTAGCGTTCTGAAGGGCGTGTTGGTCGAGGTAGAGGCCCGCGACATTCACGTTGGTCATCACGGGCGAGGAAGGAAGTCGCCGGCGTGTGATCTGACGTACCAAGCGACCCCTCCAGTGGCGCCCCAGACATGTGGGAGAAATTCGCTCGTGTTTTCTCTCTCCGCTGATCGCTTCTGTGAACGAATGGACACGGCTTATATGAGAATTGGAATTAGGTTTACAGTTTAGCTGAGAGGAAGAATACAAATATAAAAACAAATAAAACGTTATCTCCCTATTTTGCTTACATTTTACGAAGCTTTCAAACAATCAAGACAATAACTTCGCTGGAACTTACCCACAGTGTCATAAGAGGCCGGGGATATTCACACACACAAAACAAAAGAAAGAAAGAAAAAAAAGTCTGTATAAATCAAGTCACTTCATAAACCTCCTTAATGAACAGATACTCTCGCCTTCTGCTTC